GCTATATAATGCTTAAAGTAATTGATATATCCCTCGGAAAAGGGTATATTTGAATAAGGCACGCTCGCATTTTTCAATTGTTTTACGATACTAAACACAATAATTGTTGTTTATCAGCAACAATGACGGACGAAACGTTATGCTGCCAGTAGTAAAAGCGTCTACGTGCGTGTGTGTGTATGTGTTTGTGGGTGTGTGTGCCTGTGTGTGTGTGTGTGCGGCGCCTATTCACCTTGACATGTCATAGCGGTGGGCTTATTAAATCCATTAACACAACATAACAATAACAATAACAAATAAGTAGCTAATAGCAAACACGCAAATTATAACAATTATTTATATTTGTTATTAAAAATACAAGAACAACAACAGCAATGCAAAACGAAAGTGAATTTCAAGCATTGCAAAAAGGGTAAACGCCGCCGTTAATCCAACGAGTGCGAGCGAAACAAACACAATGTAAATGTAAATGTTATGAGCAATGCTTAAGCGCTTATGTATGTTCAGTTCAGTCAAAGTTGAAATGCTCGTGCCAGAGTGAGAGCAACAGATCGTGTAGGAGTGCAGTGCAAGCATGCATGCGTGTGATTGTGTTTGTGTGTGGGAGTTTGAGAGAGAGAGAGAGAGAGCTCTGCTGCGGCTGCTGCCATTTGTTTTATGCAAAGTTAAATGCTGACTAAATGCTGGCAATTAAATGTTAATGTCGCGCGCTTCTGTTACTTTTATAATTATATACGTATGCATGTGCTCTTTCTCTCATTGTGTATGTGTATGTATGTGCGGATTGTTTACTGTTATTGTTGCCTGCTCATTATCACTTTCGGTCTCATTGAATGCCGCCGCCGCCACAATTGAAAAACGAAATGGAAACCGTTTCTCAGCTGTTCGCATAAACAAAAATAAATAAATACGAAAAATAAAATGCAAGAGCAACAACAAAAATTGCAATATGCTGTTTCTGTTACTGCTTTTAATGTTTATTTAACACGCATTGCCACACGCGCTGTGTCCGTTACTATTGTTGTTGTTGTTGTTGTTGCTGCTGCTACTGTTGCTGTTCTCGTTGTGTTGTTGTTGTTGTTGTTGTGGAGGCGTGCGTCTTGCACAGTGCTGCGTGCGCTGCTTAAAGTGTTGCGACTGCCGCTTAACTAATTGCTTAACATTTCTAGCCATTGTGCACCACGGTGCCACTGCACACACACTTACCTGTATTTCAAGTTCATTATAAATAAAACGTCAATATTATTAAATTTATACAAACAGTCGGCTGCTGTTGTTGTAGTTGTTGCACGTGTATTTCGCTGTCTGCTTTTTTCATTCCCGCTATGTGTGGGTGAGTGCGTGATTGTGCGAGTGTATGTGTGTGTGTGTGTGTGTAAGTGTATGCGTTAAAGCGCGCGTGTCGCATGCGTGTGCGTGTGTGTGTGTGTGGGCCGAGTGTATTGAACTCTTGCTGCATTTTTGCACAATATCTTTTTTTACTCATATGCATGTGTCTGCATACATACATATGTACATGCATAGGTGAGTGTGTGTATGTATATATTACAAATATGTATGTTCGACTTTTCTGCTGGCTGCTGCTTCTTTTGTTTTTGCAATTGTGTTTCTCTTGTTTTCTTAGTGTTTTGTTTTGTTTATTATATTTTTTACCCCGTCTTAATCAGTTCTTGTCGCCAGAGTCGCTGCAATTTATCGGTCATCTTGCAATCGATGGCCAAACGCCGATGCTCTTCCAGCACTCTATCGATACATGCAGCTTTTTGAAGCTGTGCAAAAGAGATGTGCAAAAGAGATGTGCAAAAGAGATAGCTTGCATTAGAGATGGGCCAGCCCTGCAAGAAGATTTGCAAGAGGTGTAACAAAAATAATTACTTCAAATTCTTATTTAAAAGTTAATATTGAATTAGAATATATTTTAAACAAGAAATGAACATATTTAATTTTGTTTTTGTAATCATATATTTATATTCTTATCTAACATTTTTCGAATGTTGTTAATTTTCTTTTTGGGTACAAATTAATTATTTAAAGTGAGAATCGCCTTTTAATTCATTTGCATTTCTTGGCAGCTGACAGTCATCTTCACCCTATAGCTCTCCGTGTGTGTGTGTGTATAGGGATGTCTGTATGTGTTTGCTGCACACCTTTTCGAGGCGGTCAACTGTGACGACAAAAAGTCAGCTCAAAACGTCTTTTACTTCCGTTTTTGATGAGTTTTTTTTTTTTTCAAGTTTGAGGTGAAGGTTGAGGGAATCGCATTGTGGCCAACGGGCAGCAGGCACAGGGTCGGGGTCGGGGTCGTAGTCGGAGAATGGGCAGAAGGGTAGGAAGCAGGGTGGGTCAGAGTGCATTCATTTTATGATTGATCACGCACGTGTGTGCGATGGAGCTGTTAAAACCAACGATGGCATTATCGATAGTATCGAGGATTGAAACCATCAATGGGAGTAGCCATTGTGTGGAGCATTCGAGCGAAATGGGTTTACTTTATAGCATATCAGATGTATAACTAAATATATATGTGTATATGTATAAATATATGACTGACTGATTGATGAGCTTCAGATAGACTAAGAAGTTATACATATATACTATATAATTTAATTAAAGATGAAGTGAAGATGCTAATTGTATTTACAAAA